TTTAAAAAAAAAACAAAACTAAAAAATAAAGTAAAACCACAGCATTGGCTTCCTGTACATGGGACAGGCAAGAAGGAGGGGTCAAGGAAGGTCGTGGAGGTTTTGACAAGGGAGAAGTTTGCTGTCCTTCACTGCGCTGTGGGAGATTGGTTTGATCAGGAACGCAGGGTCGGGCATGTTAGTTTCGAGATGCCTGGCAGAGATGTAGAGTAAGGAGTTGGGTTTACGAGTCTGGAGGTCAGGGGGCAGGTCTGTAGGCAGCATCAATCCCCTGAGACAGGCTGCGAACCCCCGGAATGAGGGTGAGTGAAGAGAGGATGAAGGCCTGAGGCCTCCCAGCACTTCCGTCTTCCTGCTTTATCCTTCTCCCTGGCACGTGCCACCATCCTTCTGTTTGTTTTACTTGTGAATGTTCTTGACGATCTGTCCCTCCTCCTAAAACGTAGGTTCCGTGGGGACAGGGCTTCTGTGTTGTTTACTGCTCTAACACCAGCACCCACAACAACACCTGACACATGGCACGTGCTCAATAAATCCCTGAAACAGTACATCACTGAAAACAGCGAAAGGAGGGAGGAGGGTGATCGGGAACACTGATTGCTTTTAGTTGCTGTGGAAGTGTTTCCTAATGTAGAAGGAACCTCATGCCTCTGGGCAATAGGAAATACACCGTCAAAATGAAAGAACCCTCTTCTTCACGATTTATATTTTTATCTTAAAGTCAGTATTTGTTGTTTTGTGATCACGAGGTTGTCTCCTGACTCAGCGAGCCCACCAGATATTAAGGGCGAGCTCTCCAGTTTAGCTCCTGACCCCCGCGTAGGAGACAGGATTGTATCAAGAGTGTCTCTTCTGAGGCCGTCATGGTCCCAGCTCTAGCATCTCCTGGCACTTCTGAGCACCAGTTCCCCCATTTTTAAAATGGGGGTGATGATACCTACCTTTTAGGGGTGTGGGGAGGAGGGTGTGAGGTTGTCACTGGTTTGTCTTTGCTTACTGCTCTCCTTGCGTCTTGAGACACTCCCCCACCCCCATCTTGGTCCTGGAATGGTCTCTGAGATGCCCTGTGGCCAGTGCTCTCCTGCCTTTTCCCCTGCACCCTAGCACCTGCCTGCTTCTGCCGGCTCAGCCTCACTGTCCGCCCCCCAACTCCACAGACCACCCTTTCCTTCAAATCATTTGGTGATGCTTGTTATGTCCTCTTTTCCTTAGCTACGTGGAATCCCAAAGACTTGTAAAATCAGAATATTAAAAGTGTACACAATTTCCTGTCTGGACAAATTCCTGCATATATAACCGATCTTTAAATACTTCAATTTTGTTGTTTTTTCCCAAAAGAAAGCTATTACCATTGCTGTATCCCACCTTTATCTATTACCTGTTTGTGGGTCTGTAAGGGAACTCGTGAACTTCGGGATAGGACTAGGTGGTATAGTTCTAGGCAGAGCTTGCCATGCTCCTGTTTTTTAAAAAAGCCACTAGTTGGGTTACTTTTCATTTAGTCAGCAGTATCCAGCAGCTCTGTGGTCATACAGCCCTTTTGTCCTCGTCAGATGTTTAGGCCGCCTTCTTCCATATTCTTACTATGCCAGCACAGGGTCTGCATGGACCCGTTGTTTGTTTTTTGTTTTTTAAGATTTTATTTATATTAGAGAGAGGGAACGACCTGGGAGTAGGGGAGGAGCAGAGAGAGAATCTGAAGCAGACTCCCCACTGAGCACGGAGCCCAACGGGGGCTTGATCTCATGACGATGAGATCATGACTGGAGCTGCAATCGAGAGTCAGACGCTCAACCAACTGAGCCACCCAGGCGCCCCCTTCATGTACCCATCTATAGTTTGTTTCCTTACACTGGTTTCCCCTAGCGTTAAGATGGGTCTGGTTATTTGTGAATACTTCCTACGCTTCTTGAATGAGCCATGGTTCCTGCCCTCAGGGAGCTCACAGTTGATGGGAAGGACAAGATTCCAGCCCCTGAGAAAGTGAGCAGTGCCCTAAGAGAGGGCACAGGTGGGAAGAACAGAGTTCAGTCAGAGGGGACTTCAGGAGGAGAGGCCCTGAGAAGTGAGTCTGGACCTAAAATGGAAACTATTCTAGGCAGAGGGAATGGCATGTGTAAATATGCAGAGGCCAGAAAGCGTGGAGCGGAGTGGGATGTAGGCAGCGCATGGAAAGGGCTGGAGCGCGGGGCCTCCGGCGGGCAAGGCGGGTGGGGCCCAGCCAGGCAGAGGGCCTGCACGGGTCCTGGCGCTGGGCCACGGGAGGGCTGCACAGAGGACGGTGTGACGAGTGCTGCATGTCAAGCTGGTCCTCGCGGCAGCAGGCCAGGGTGGCCCCCGACAGCTACTGAGGTCAGCAGCTTGCCGAGCACGCATCCTCTTAGCAAATTGGACGTTCCAGCTCAGAGCTCAGTTATCCTTGGAGCTGATGTGAATGACGTTTCTGTGTTCCTAATTTTGGTGTTCTTATCCTTGACATCAGAGTGAAAGCTTGATGTGGATGCCATAATGAGGTCACATAGGAAACAGAGGGCTCTAGGGGTGGAGGTAGGGTGAGTTAACAGTGCAGAGGCTCCTACCTAAAGATGTCCTGTCAGAAAAACAGCTCACCAGTTTCTATGGGTGCCTTCAGCCTCTCTTTTATATATGAGTTGTATTATATTTACATGTATATTACATATAAATGTTTTTTATAAATATAATTCTAGCAAAAATAGCCATTTATTTTAAACTTGCACAGTGTTCTGGATGACATAGAGATTTTTTTGTGATGATGCATTTGGAATGGTAATACCTTATACACAGGGTTTGCCTAAATTGCTTTCTCTAAATTGGTGCTATCATACGTTCTTTTCCCTTAGTCTTAAAAAAAACCTCTGGACTTTTGCCCATCTCGTGGGGCTGAGCTCACTCTGGGAAATTTCCTGAGGTTGAGGAAGAAAAGAAAAAGAAGCAGTACTTGGCAGCCCCCTGACAAGCCTAGAAGCACGGCGAGACATCAGACGCAAAGTCACCTTTAGAAAGAGAGACCCCGTCACAGTGTGCACCAGGGGCAGATCCCCTCCATCCACTCGCCTGTTCCCTCCGCACCCCCTTCGAGCCAGGCAGGCCTCTCTAGCATGGTCCTGGGTGGCACAGCCCTTCCTGGGAACCTGAGCTGTTGGTTCACTTCATCAAGTATCCATCACCCGTTTGTGTGGTTGTGGTCAAAAAGTTCTGTAAAGCGTTCCTCCACCTCCAGTCCACAGTTCGTGCTCAGGTCCCTATCCTGGAGTACACCAAAGAGCGCTCGAAGGATGGACTGGCACACGGTACCATTACACTAGGGAGAGACCCAGATAACCCAAGGTTTATCAGTGGAGGTACAGCTACGTAAGGGACAGTGCGTCCTTACAACGGAATGTTACGCAGCAGCTTAAAAGAGTGAAGCAGATCTATGTGACTGACGTAGGATAATCTCCGAGATATGGTGAAGTCATAAACAGCAAGTTTCAGAACAGTATGCTAACCCACAAAACTCCATACTGTTTCTAGACTGAAGTGTGGGGGGAAGGCAGGGAGTTACATCTCTGCGTGTATGTGAACGCACTAGGTCAAGTCAAAGTGCTGACAGTAGTTACTTCTGGGAGAGAAATAGGATTAGGGAGCAGTCTGTCATTTCCTGTATTTTTTTTTTTTTTTTTTATGAAAACACCCATATCTTCAGCAGTATTTGGAAAGCAGAGGGAGGGCGTGAGTGCGTCAGTTTGTGGTTTGAGGTAAAATACTCTTTTTTTTTTTTTTTTAAAGATTTTATTTATTTTTTTGAGAGAGAGAATGAGAGAGAGAGAGAGCAGGAGAGGGGGGAGGGTCAGAGGGAGAAGTAGACTCCCTGCTGAGCAGGGAGCCCGATGCGGGACTCGATCCCGGGACTCCAGGATCATGACCTGAGCCGAAGGCAGTCGCTTAACCAACTGAGCCACCCAGGCGCCCGAGGTAAAATACTCTTGACGACTGGTTCTGAAGACTGTCCCTTTCGTCTGCAACCATTGCTGAGATCACCGTGGCACTGACCCTGTGCATGAGGCGCCTTCTCCCCCCGCACGAGTGCACACTCACGTGCATGCACATGTGCACGCACGCACACGTCTAAGCATGATAGGAGAACCATGGTGCGGCGCCTCAGTAACCGGAGGTGGACAAAGCTGTACGATCCCGTTCCACCCCATGTTCACAACGTGCCTGCATCCCAAGCCAGCCTCCTAAACTGAGTTGTTTTGCCTTCTGCTTTTCTTCTTCTTCTTCTTCTTTTTTTTTTTTTTAACAGAGAAAGTTCCGGCTGAATCGCAACCTGAACTGGGCACCTGGGGAGATGGCAAAGGTGACGATGAATTATCCCCAGAAGAAATACAAATGGTAAGGCTAGTCTCTGCCCAGTCAGGTGTTGCTAACTGGTGTTAGTTAGGAGGTCATCCTAAATGCCCTTGCTCTGACTGTTATACCAGGTTTTAAAAGTTATAAATAAATATTTTAGATACAGCTTTTCCACTTGATTTCCTAATTCTTAATATGCTTTTCATAAGTTTTAAATTTGCAGTAGTGTAATTGAAGAAGAAATTGCCTTGGAATAATTTTACTAATATTAGGTTTCTTTTCAGCTGCAGTAAAATAGTCCTCCAGACTAAATGGCTCTTTTATAATTCCTGCTGTGGTGCTTTTTAATTGTTTGAATTGCTGGTGTCATGCTAATGTGGAGAACGCATAAGTAATGACCGAAAGATGAAGAGTAACACCTTAACTGCTAAGGTCTAGTTGCCAGTCGTAGGCTGTCCTCTCTGGGTGAGTTTCAAAAGGAAACCGATAGTTCTGGCAAGAGCGCCTGCCAGCTCGTTTACAGCAGTGTCTGTGTATACTTCAGACGTTGGTGTGATCGAGCCAAATGGAATCCGTCTTCCTGGGGCGGGGAGCGGGTGTTTCCTAGCGCGGCCCTGGCGAGACACTGTCCTCTGCCTACGGAGCTGGGAACCCGGCTCCCACTTGGCGCATTTCATTGGCTATCCCTGACAAGTGACAACACCTTAGCTGGTGCCGCAGTTGACGGGGGACGGAACTTTGCTGGGATCATCTTCTCCGTGATTCTCTTAACAGTCAGGCTCAGAGGTGGTGGTGCATCACCATCTCCTTTTTTTTTTTTTTTTTT